CGCTTTGGCTAGCTCAAAATGTATCTGAAAAATATCACCTTTATTATATTTTCTATATCAAATTCCAAAAGTCATGCACTAAAGCAGTTTCTCCAGATAATGTCTCAAAGTGCTCACAGGGTTTCAATTGTCTAAGCTTCTTGAGCACGGGGCTCTGGACACCTTCAAGAGCTAGATGATAGGGGGATTGGGCTTGGGATGTGCAGTAGACCATTACAGCATCCATCCTGGGTTCAGGAAGCTGGAGGATCCCTCTCTTCTCTTCAGATGCCTCTTCATAGGCCCTCGTTCTCTCCTCTTCTCTGAGCTTCACTTTGGAATTCAGGTCATCCTGTGAAAGGCTAGCCTAAAATACCTCAAAGTCACATTGCACCTCATCTATAATCCAGCACAAGCTACTTGAAAATTAGCACTTTGTAGATGTGGTGACAGTTTAGAAATTTGGTTAGTGGAATTAAAATAGCCAAAAGCAAAAGAGTTGAGGAAAAGCAGTTGAGAAATTCTTGGAGTGTCATTTTCTGTGTCCAGTTCTCTGCCCTCCTTGGATTGTTTTATCCACTTGAAGAAAGAGTTGCTCTTACTCACTTTTGGCAACCTATATAGGAAACCAGGGGAGGTAAGTTCCCACGAGTCTCATATCTGTCCTAACAAAAAGAGGTAATGTGACCTTCGACTTGAGATAGCAAAGGCTGTGATCAGTAGTTTCTCCCAATTGATCTTCTCTCAGTTATTCACTCCGTAAATCAATATAAATACTGCACAGTATTAATCCCAGGAAGTCTCTCTGCTCTCCTCCCCCATGACCTCCCTCCTTCTTTTCCCCCAACCCCAAACGCAACTCAGTCTTCTACTGTCAGGTTGTATGTATTATGCTATACTATAGCCAACCAATGCTTTGTTTCTAAAATTCTTATTCTCACACACTAGAAAAAAACAGATCAAGTAGATTATTAGTTCAGTGGTACAAAAATCAGCCTTATTTTAACAAATAATTACCATGACTTTAGGCTGGAAGTTAGGAAGACCCGAGTTCAAATCCAGACTCTGACACTATGTGATCCTGGTCAAGTCACTTAATCCTGTTGGCCTCAGTTTCCTCATCTGTAAAATGAGTTGGAGAAGGAAATGGCAAGCCACTCTAGTATCTCTGCCAAGAAAACCCCAAAAGGGTCCCAAAGAGTCAAACATAACTGAAAAGGGATTGAACAACAACAATCATGACTTCAGATTTGTACATGTCGTTTGGAGAAAATTACACTATTTGAATTAGACTAGCCGACACTGACTATATCTGGACAAAATGAAAAGGGAGAATCACAAATTCACTAAATGTGGCCAATGTAGGTGGCAATCTGGATAATTCAGGCTGAAGAGATGCCTTTTTCCTCAATAGCAAATGCAGGAAGGCCAGAACTACCATTTGCTTTTTGGTGCTACCTTACCTCTCTCCCCCAGCCCGCATCAGTAATTGCATAGTAAGTCAATGATGTCACTGAATTCCTTATTCCTGCCCTGGTATGGAAAGCAAAAAGGGAGACGTCAAGCCACCACTAATTTGGAAACGTAAAACTTTCTAGGGACTAAGGGCCACATCAAACAATCTGCTCTGCTGCAGAATGGATTTACAAACTTCAACATCACTTACATGTCTGCATAAACAAGGTACCCTTTCTGTTCATTAATCATTTAGGCGTGTACACATGCCTTAATGGGAGCACAGATTATGCTCAAATACAACTCAGACTGCTGTTCTCTTTTCCTTCTTGGAGGTCCAGAAACAATGCAATCTACATAAGTACAGTAACACTACTGCTTAATAGATTGCACTCAGAGAGTCACTAGTGTGACTTGAATTTACATCAAGAAGAATTACGTTTTTGTACATATCATGTCGACTGCTATACTTATAAGCCAGTTGTTTGTCATACTGACTTGACTCTATCCTTTGACCTTCAATAAAAGATGCTTTGTGCCTCTTCATGAAAATAAATAAAGAAAAGCAAAGCCTGTTCTGAGGTTGGTTCATGGTACGTGAGCATTTTATTTTACGTGACATATCCAAAATTCATTGGATATTATCTGGACTACGAAAGGTACAAGGGACATTAAATCTCACAACAGTCATAGATGAAGAGTAGTCGAACAGACCTATATAAAAGATCCTCCTGTAATGTGACTTAGAAAGGATTAGATTTTCCTAATCACACAGATTTCAAGAAAAGTCTGCTTTTTACAGTTGTGATTGCTCTGCAGTCCATTTGATAATATGGCACTCTTTCCTTTGAAAATAGCTCCACTAAGAGTATTCTCAAGAAACGTGAATGAAAAGATGGATTGATGCCAAATGGATCCCTGCAGCTCTTACTGATCTCTTAAAATCACTAGAAAGAATCACTTAAATAATGGATCTTCTGCATCCCTCTAGCTAGTCTACTTAATTAGAAAGAAGGACCTCAATTGTATTAATTGTACCAGTTAGGACAAGGAGCAAGGGAAACAGAAACAAGTTTGGTGAACAGTTGGATCACTGCCACACATTAGGTGCTTAATAAACATTTACTGGATCAGATCAATTTTTTTCAAGATTGCTTGCAAAATTAACTCCTCCATGTCTTTGCCGTGGTTATTTCCCTTATTAAATCTGTTTAAGTAGATTTATAAGAAAGATGCTGGGCTTTCCTTCCTTCCTTCCTTTCCTCCATCATTCAGTGAACAAAAAGGGTGACTGATTGGTTGCCTTTGATTTAGGTTATAGATTAAGGAACTCAAAATCAGGTCCAGACAGAACACAGAACAATTTACCCAGGCTATAAAGGAGATAACAGTAAACAAACATGACTTCCCTCTCATTGTTACCATGATTTCTACAGAAAGAAAAAAAAAAGACACCTGTCCTGTTTTTAGTTTGTTCCCCCACTAAGTTTCAGAAGAGAATATAGAATGACTGAAATATCCACCTTGGTGGAACAGAATCTTGAATCACTTCCAGTTTACATTAATGTATAAGAATTCTTTGCATATTTTTATGTTCACATATATAACATTATATAAACTATTCAATATATGTATACACACATATATGTAGTAGGGAAGTACCATGGTATACTGGAAAGAACACTGGACTGGAGAGTCAGGAGCCTTGGGTTCTAGTCCCAACTCCGCCACTAAGGTTACATAGTTATTTAGTGGAAGAACTGGGATTAGAACCCAAGGAATATGTCTTCTCTGTGTCCTACAGATGTTTCTAGAACAGTATCATGGACTTAATGAATGTTTAGAAAATACTGATGGTTATTATGGAGGAAATTGTATAACACTTTATAGCATTAAAAAAAAAAGCTTGATTTCTGACTTTTGTGTGTAAGTATGTGTATATATACATATACATATATCTCATAATTATTTCTAGATATGCTGCCTACTACCACTCCCTAATTGAACCCTCCTTCCTTATTTATTTTTCCATTAACAAATCTACTTTTTTCCTTCCCACCTTCCCTCTCCATTGGAAAAATAAAAAGGAAAACAAAATCCTTTTAATTGTTAATATGTAGAGCCCTTGTAACAAATCTGCGTTTTGGCCATGTCCAAAAACATCTGTGTCTCTCATTCTGCACTCTTAAGTCCCTCACCTCTGTGCCTGGAGGTGGATAGCATGGGGTACCATTCTTTGTAACAAAGAAACTTTTTAAACAAAAGCAAGTGATAAAGTGACTGTGTCTGCTAATGATCTGCTCTAATAGTTCCCTGCCTCTCTGCTGAGTTACAAGAGGGAAGTATTATTGGATTTGCAGTTACTGAACTCTTGTTCAGTTTCCTTTTAGGTAACATTTGAGTCTTTTGAGATCCATTTGGGTGTCAGCTATACATACATTCACAGCATTTTTACATCCTTTTTTGCTGTCTTTAAACCTTGAGTTCAAGACATTTTCTAATCATCACTAGCATTTCTTCCTTCTAACAATTTCCTATTTCTTTGGCCTCAATATCTAATGATACATTGTAAAATGTATTCAAATTAGGTTTCTCAGTGAGATTTCTAAGTGGTATCCAACAGATAGGGTGGCTAGGTGGTGCAGTGGATAGAGTGTCAGGCCTAGAGTCAGAAAGACTCATCTTCCTGAGCTCAAATCTGGCTTCAGACACTTCCTAGTTGTGTGACCCTGGGCAAGTCACTTAACCGTAGTTGCCTCAGCTCCTCATCTGTAAAATGAGCTAGAGAAGGAAATCTCAAACTGCTCCAGTGTCTTTGCCAAGAAAACCCCAAATAGGGTCACGTAGAGTTAGACATGACTGAAACAACTCAACGACGACAACAATGCAATTGATATGTGATTTAGGTTTTTACAATTACACTAAAACTCTGTGGATTCCTTAGGGGTGGGTAGGTCCCCGCATCCTCCCATGAAGATTATTTTCCTGACACCTATGCGAGTTTCTATTAAAGTATAAACAAGCCAAAATATTCATGTTCCTTAGATGACAGAGAATTAAAAACGCCTTAGAATCACCCCTAGTTAATTTTAAATATGCATATATTCTTAATGTCTTACATGTCTGTATGTTAGGGGAGAGAGTGTGTGTATGTGTATGTGTTGATATCTACATGAATGACTAGGTAATAACCGATACTTCTGACTAAATTTATGGGTCAATTGAGGCAAATGATAGACCTATATACTATAAGTAATTAAATAAGTGTATCTCAAAACTGCCATATTATATGTGTCATTTTTATTACGGATGGTCCATAAGGGTTAAAGACCATAACGATCAATGTATTATTATCCAGTTTTAGGAAAAAAGTTTTACTGATAATATTGAATTTCACTGCCTACCTCCACTCTGTTAGCAATCTGTCATTGCATGCACTTTAAAGGAAGGAGAAAATGTATTGCACTTTATTTGAATTTGACATGTGTTTGATTTTAAGAGAGTATATAATATGAAGAAAAATGTCTTATTGAATTTAACTTTATGAAAATCTTTTTTTAGCTTGCCTTAATGGACTCAAGAAAGGTACGGTATAATCTAACAAACTACAGTCATCATGCATGTAACATTTTTAAATGGCTCATTGATTTTTGTTCATTTTTAGTTCTTTTGACATATATATATATATATACATATATATATATATACATATATATATATACATATATATATACGTATATATATATATATATATATATATATACACATACACTTTTTTTGTAATTCACTGAAATTTTAACTGCTTGCTTCAAAAGCTTTTTCAATCTATTTTGAATAAGATGTCATTTAACAATTATATTATTTTGGCTTGATATTCATGACACACTTTCCCCCCCCCAAATGTATGTAATCTTTTAGATAATCTAATTGACTGTAGCCCATATTAGTGGTCAGCTTACCGTAGGTGCCTTTACATTCCAGAAGGAGTTCAAAGTGCATTTTCCCCTGGGGAAGGGCAGGTGCACTGTTGGATTTTCCCTGCAGAGGTCTTGGTGGACGGTTTCCTAGTAGATTCTTGTTTTCTATAATGTTGGACTTGTATTCAAGCTTGATTTATTAGCAAGACAAAGCCAAGTTCACCTAATTTGTAAACTTGCAGAAAAGGCTTAGTATGTATTTCTCTTTGCCCAAATTCAAGTTTACTTTGTATATCTATATATTCAACTTTCAAGCTTTATTAATAAAAGCTAGATTGAGCTATATTGTAAGCAATCAGTTAAATACGTATAATTTTTACATCATAGTACAATATAAAAACATGTAATGTTTCCAATGCTCTTAAAATATCACAAAATATGCACTTATTTATTGTTTAGTTACTTCACAGCCAAAGTCACCATTTTTCATTATTGTTTCATATTCATATGCTTTTATTTTAAACTATAGTTAGTTGCTCTGTAACCAAATAGAAATTGCAAGTATAAGAAAGGTACCTGACTAAATGCAGACATTGATGTGTAACTGGGAAGAAAACTTCACCTGTCAAGGCTTACTGGTTTAAACATCTCATCAATATTTCAGAGACATGTTGTTGATGTGTTCATCGTGTTTGTCTTTTTGTTTAGATCTCCTTCTGATAAACTATGACTTGATTTTGAAGTCCTTGTGGATGTTTCTGGCCATCTTTGGAGTACTGGTGGAGATGACCATGATCTATCCTTCATTATATAAGCTTCAGATAGTCAGTTTGTTTCGTTGACTTCAGAAACATCTGGGGATTGGTTGTATCTTTGTTTTATAGGTAGCTCCTCTAGTTTCTGACATAGCCCATTTTCCTGTTCTGAGTATGGCCATCTACATGCACTCATCACATCTCTTGTACTTATGGTCCAAGATCCAGGTGATGGAATAGTTCAGTGGATAATGAGGATTATATTCCAATACATACCATCAGCAAGTAGCTTCGGTTATCTTCTTCCCCGGATAGCTTATGTTGCATGCTATAATCTTCAGTGAATTTTGGCCATGCTAATTTGCTTCAATTCAGCACGCATTTATTAGGCACCTACTGTGTGCCAAGCACTCACTGTGCTGGGCCTTGGAGATATAAGAACAAAACAGACCCTGCCTGGGGACAGCTATGTGGCACAGTGGATAGAGCACCGGCCCTGAAGTCAGGAGGACCTGAGTTCAAATCTGGCCTCAGACCAAACACTTGACACTTACTAGCTGTGTGACCCTGGGCAAGTCACTTAACCCCAATTGCCTAAAACAAAAACAAAACAGACCCTGCCACCAAGGAGACTACATTCTGCTTTGGGCAAGCAACAATTATGCAAATAAATAAATAAAAGTATATACAAAGAAAATATAGAGCCTGAAGAGAGCTAAGGATTTTAAGAGGAGGAGATGAGGAGCGAAGCTTTTCAAGCAGAGTTGAGGATGTAGAAAGTTGTGTAGTGAGAGCAGGAAATAGAGCCCTTTGGTGGGATGTGCAGGGCATGAGAGGGGAGTAGTAGGAAATATGCCTAAAGAAAGATGGGGTGGAGCCAGATTGTGGATGTCTTGAAATACCCAGCAGAAAAATTTGTATTTTATACTAGAAGCTGTAAGGAGCCACTTCTAGAAGAGGGAAATGTCACAGTGAGACTTATGGTAACAAATGGTTATTGAACTGAACTGAACCAGGTGCCTGTATATTAGTTACTTATGTGACTACGGCCATTATACATTTTGCCTTTAAAAAGTAACAGAAGAGATTAGAAATTCCCTGAGGATCATGATTATGCCATGAATAGACTTTCTGTCCTAGGTTGTATTATAATGATTCAAATAGGGTCTGATCTCAATTCGTGATCATTTTTCAACAGTTATCATGGTTTAAGACAGAATTATCAAACTTGAGGCCTGCAAAATTCCTGTCTCAAACCAAATTAAAATGTAATTGGGATATGTTTAATAAAATAAACAAAAATACAATACAACGTAGATAATGTTAATTTGTGGTTTTCTAAGTCAATGAGCTAGCCGGTAGGGATCCATTTCTATTTGAGTTTGACACCTCTGGTCTAAGATACTGCTTTCAGGCTTGACGTTTCCAAGGTCCCTTCTGATTCTAGAATTCTAGAATGTTTTATAAATAATTAGTCTCCACTACTAGCCGGTTTTGTTGGATCTTATGAAATGTCTTACAGCATACTGTTTCTCGGTCACACCTAATTTCTTTAATACCAGGGCATTTAAGTGAGCTCTTGTGGTCTGACCCAGTTGCTTTAAATTGTTCTCAAGATAGTCACAGTGTTTTCAGCCAGATTTTCCCATCTAACTGTTGGGGCTGGCATGCAAGGAAGCTTCTCACTAAGAGCCCACTCACTCTTTCTATTCTGTGTGACTACTTCAATGCAGGTCATTGTTCGCTAATGAGTAAGCTGAGTTGCTGCAGTTTCTCAAGGTGAACCCAGTTTATTGCTAAAGAGGTATTTGTGATTGTCACCGAGGACAAATACTGTTTGATGTAGTCAGGTAAAAAAGCATCCTGGCTTCGTATGGCTCTACCTCCTATAAGCTCTATAAATTGGTAACCATGTTAGTAGATTGGATTTTCTGTCTTTATCTGCAAGGCCACTTTTTTTGTGCACCTGCTTTATTCCATAGCCAAGATGTTTTCTGCTGAAATTTGTCAATTTTCATGCAGTCACTAACATTTAGGGTTTATAGGCATCGGCATACCAACTGACTCCATCAGTTGAAATCAGAGCTCTGTTGTCAAGAGGAAGGTTTGATTTCTTCAGGCTGTTTTTCAGAATAGTTTAAAGGCTTTCACTTGACAGCCTTGAATATATATGCCCTCCTCCCTCAAAAAAAACTGCTTGCCACTCAGCAGTTATTCCTTTTCTTGATATACCTTGATGAACAGTACTTGGGTATTAAAGGGATTTTAGGACTTCATCACTGAGGACTTCTTTTGACATTTAATGCCTAGATTAAAGTACTAAACAAGCTCTTAGAATGTGACCCATGTTATTCTTATTTTTGACTGAAGAAGTGAGGTAGGGATCTAGAGGAAAGAATGAATGCTATTCTATAGGGATATAAGGCTAAGCTGGAGGAATTCTTTCTGGTTTCTCTCATTTCCCAGATGTTCAACTCATTCTTAGTCATCTGACCACTTAGTTAGAAATCCTAAACAGAAAGCATATTTCATACTTATATATAATGGATATGGAGTTAGTCAATATCATTGTCAGTTAACGAGAAAGCTAATGTCTTGACTAACTATCCTTTTTCTTGTTCAGGAGCTAATGAAAGTGTATGTAAATATCTGAAAGTGCCAACTTAACAGCCACATTTTAAAAGTTAGCTCTTCCATGTTAAGTTAGTATCATTCCAGATTCCCAACATAATGTTCTGAGGCAGAAATTCTTAACCATTTTTGTGCCACTGATACCTTTGACAATTTTATTAGGTCTACATACCCCTCCTGAGAATCAGGTTTTTAAAATCATAAAATAAAATACATATGATTACAAAGGAAACCAATTTTATTGAATTGTAATTATCAAAACATTAAAAGAGTAATTTCATATACACCAGGTTAAGGACTCTTGTTTTAAGGCAGAAGTGGGCCACATATGGCCCTCTAGGTCCTTGGGTGCAACCTTTTGACTGAGTCCAAGTTTTATAGGACAAATCCTTTTATGAAGGGGATTTGTTCTGGGAAGTTTGGAGTCAGTCAAAGGGCCTCACTTGAGGACCTAGAGGGTCACATGTAGCCTTGAGGCTGCAGGTGCCCCACCCCTGTGGTAACATACAGGTAATAATATAAAAATGGATGTTTTTATTATTAGCATTTTTGTTATCTTCCTGGCCATATCCTCAACAACTGTGACCAGACACCATACTCTGGAGGATTTAACCTTTTCTTCTTGGAACCCCCTTCCCCCGCTTCCCCTTTTCTGGAACTGCAATCAAACCAATATTCCCATTGCTAAAGGAAAGTGTGTCAATCTTATCCCCAGTGGTTCTACTTACCATCCATGTAAGCTTCTGAAGCACAAATCTGTTCATTGAAAAAGAAAAAAAGAAAAGAAAAGAAAAAAAGAAAAAAACAAAGACAAATCTGTTCCTTGGACAGCATACTGTACTATGTAGGGTGTCTCATGGTCTTCATGTGGCGTGAAATTATTTATTTCCGTGGTCCTAGACACTGTTTCTCTTACTGCTGCCTAAACTTCCACTCACTTTCTTGAGTTCTGTATCAAACTGTTGACTTACATCGACCTTGTTGTCCACTAAGCTCACCGACTCCATTCTCAACCAAACTGCTATCTAGCCAGGATCCTTTCAATTAGTCCTTGTGAAGTTATTTGGGAAACCAAGGATAAGATGACACTAATCCCTATTAAATTGCATCTTTTTGAATCCTGACTCTGACATTCAAATTCACAAGCTGTATGAGTGTGTGATCATAGTCTCCATTCAAGCCACTCTTCATATGCATACGAATGTTAGACACAATAGTGTCAAGCAGCCATATGGTCCCTCTCATGGAGGGGAGGGTCCCTTCTCAGGTGACATGAAAGGAT